AATGCAGCAAGTGTTAGAGCTACAGCTAGGCTTAGAGGTAGGGTTAGTATTAGAATGATGGTTAGGGGTATGGTTAGGGCTAGCACTAGAACTAGGCTTAAGGTTAGGTGTGGGGTTATTGTTAGAGCTAGTACTAGAGCGAGTTTTAGACTTAGGTTCAATATAGGGTTAGAGTTAGGGTTAGGCTAGGTGTGGAGCTACAGTTATGGGTAGTGTTACATTCCTGGTGAGCCTTAGGGTTTGGCTTAGAGTTAGGACTAGGTTTAGATTTAGGGCTCAGAATAATGCCAGTGCTAGGCTGAGGGTTACGGTTAGATTTAGCTTAATGTTATGTTTCAAATTAGGGCTGGTTTATGACTACAGGTAGGGATGGGTTTAGGGACAGGTTGGGGTTTAAAACAATGGCTAGGGTTAGATTTGGGGATGAATTTATTCTTTGTGTTAGGGTTAGGGTTAGGACGAGGGCCAGTGCTAGATCTAGAGTTAGGGTTAGGGTTAGATTAGTGTTTGGGCCAGTACTGGGCTATAGCTATAATTAGGGTTAGGTACAGGGCTAGTTTGAGGTTTAATGGTGAGATTAAAGTTAGATTTGGGAATGGATTTGTTTTTAGATATTGATTTAGGATTAGGTCCAGTGCTTGTGCTATGCTTTGGATTAAAGTCATAGATATAATGGTTTTAGGTGTTAAGATAACTCTTTAAGGTTGGGGCAAGGGTTAATTCTATGGCTAAATCTAGGGTTATGGTGGTTAGAACTAGGGTTAGTGTTTTGGCTAAGAGGAGGGTTAGGGCTAGGGATTATGTTAGGTTTTGGTTTAAATTAAGATTAGCTTTAAGGTGAGGGTTTAGGCTTGGCTTATGGGTAGTGCTATCTTTGGTTGGGGTTAGGGTTACTGTTAGCATTAGGTTAGGGCTAGAGCTAAGGTTAGGTTTATTATGAAGTTTATTGTTAATGTAAGAGTTAGTGTTAGGTCTAGGTCCAGGGTTAGGCATAACCATTAGGGTTAGGCTTTTACTTCAGCCAAGGATT